TGTTGCTGCTGATCTGTTTCATGCTGCTGATCTGTTTCATGTTGCTGGTGATCTGTTTTGTTGCTGCTGATCTGTTTCATGTTGTTGCTGATCTGTTTCATGTTGCTGCTGATTTGTTTCATGTTGCTGCTGATCTGTTTCATGTTGCTGCTATCTGTTTCATGTTGTTGCTGATCTGTTTCATGTTGCTGCTGATCTGTTTCATGTTGCTGCTGATCTGTTTCATGTTGCTGCTGATCCGTTTCATGTTGCTGCTGGTCTGTTTCATGTTGCTGCTAGTCTGTTTCATGTTGCTGCTGATCTGTTTCATGCTGCTGATTTCTTTCTTTCTGCTGTGTTCATCTGTACTCATCCGCTCACACAGACTGATGTTGCACCGTTATGTGAAGTGGTACATGTGACGCGAATGATAATAAAGAACCTTGAACCTTGATACATAACTGGAGAAAACCCACGCAGCACAGAGAGAACATGCAAACTCCTCCCAGAAAGGCCCCCGGCCGGGATTTGAACTGGCAACCTGCTTGCTGAGAGGCAGCTGTACCAGTTGCACCACCAACTTGTATTTGTTATCCAACGTGTGGACATTTGGACAACACAAATTATTTACAGAATAATTATTCAAAGATTTTCTCCAGTTGTGTGATCAAACCCAGAGCTCCACAGCTGTGGGAACATCTGGAACCTCCCTTTGTTCTCGAGGTTCTTTCTGCACGCAGACAGCTGGACGCTGTCAAACCTGATCAAATTTCTGGTCTAACATACAGCAACAGATGGTGGATCTGTGGGGGGGGGGGGACCACAAACCACCAGACACAATAATGGCAGCAGACATTAAACGCCTACCCACCGTTCCTTCAAGGAATCACCTGCCACCTCCAGCCACACTTTTCAAGTTGGAGCTTTTTAGTCAAACGTTGAAAATATGTTGTTCTATTTAATGCAACGACTCAACTACTACCACCTCAACGCCTGCGCACCTGACCAGGTGACAGCCACTGTGTATTGGCTAGTGTCTGTTAGCTGTGGCGGCCATATTGGACTGACTCCAAAAGGTCATCAGCTGCAGATAAAAGTTTTATTAAAATCCTGAGCGGTTCCTGCTACACGTCAGGCCTGTGAAGATGAAAGTGAGGCTGTATGAACTCCAGATTTACGGCTGCTCGTTTTTAATTGGTTTGTTTACCTCGTGCATGCGCCTGTTGGCCACCTCCAGTGCGTCCTCATAGCCTTTCTGCCGCAGCTCACCCAGACTCTCGTAGTATTCGTCAGCGTCGTCGCTGTCGCAGAACAGCACATGGGACAGGATCCTCCAGCCGCAGGTGTCCAGGGCGTGGCCCAGGTACACCTGCAGCTGGACACACACAGCGTCTGAGTCCTGCGGTGACGGGCCGGGCCCCCCGAACAGAACCGTCCACACACCAGACGGCTGCTCCGGAAGAGATGGCAAGCACGGCTCCAGGTCAGAGTTGATGGCACACAGCTGCTGGTGGACCGCTCTCAGGTCCTGGAGGGAGAACAGCCCGGCCCAGCTAAAGTCCTCACGGCCCGCCAGGTCTTCGAAAGCCTCCAGGACCTCTCCGTTGGGGGTAACCAGGTCCCAGGACCTCAGCACAGGACACTTTTCTCCAGTGCCTGAACTTCTTGTGTCCTGGGGGACAAAACTTTGTCCAGCTCGAGGGGACTGGCAGGTTCCGTGTGTCTGGGTTTGGTTCGGAGGGTTACAGTCCAGGTCCAGAACAGTAGACCGTCTCTGGACGGTTCTGTTGTGGCACGTGACGGCAAACTTTCCCACGATGTCGTTCCACGCCACGATGAAGACGAACTTATGGTTCTCCTTCTCCTCAAACACTTTGGGCCGAACCGACACCCATCCGGACTCCAAGTTCTCCTCCATTATGGCGAGAGACATCTCATCCACCCAGGAACAAACAGCTGAAAAAAGGAAAACAGCTAAATGCTAATGCTAGCTAACATTACCTGAAACATGAAGATCCGTTAGCTACATTTAACTGAAACAATAAATATCCTTTAGCTACATTTAGCTGAAACGTTAAATATCCTTTAGCTACATTTAGCTGAAACATTAAATATCCTTTAGCTACATTTAGAGCTGAAACATTAAAGATCCTTTAGCTACATTTAGAGCTGAAACATTAAAGATACTTTAGCTACATTTAGTTGAAACATTAAAGATCCCTTAGCTACATTTAGAGCTGAAACATTAAACATCATTTAGCTAACAAAAGCTGAAACCCTAAAAATCTTTTAGCTACATTTACAGCTGAAACATTAAAGATCGTTTAGCTACATTTAGAGCTGAAACATTAAAGATCCTTCAGCTACATTTAGAGCTGAAACACTAAACATCACTTAGCTACATTTCGAGCTGAAACATTAAAGATCCTTCAGCTACATTTAGAGCTGAAACATTAAAGATCCTTTAGCTACATTTAGAGCTGAAACATTAAAGATCCTTTAGCTACATTTCGAGCTGAAACATTAAAGATCCTTTAGCTACATTTAGAGCTGAAACATTAAAGATCCTTTAGCTACATTTAGAGCTGAAACATTAAACATCATTTAGCTGCATTTAGAGCTGAAACATTAAAGATCCTTTAGCTACTTTTCGAGCTGAAACATTAAAGATCCTTTAGCTACATTTCGAGCTGAAACAGGCTCGAACCCCCTGAAGGTCGTTAACCCTCCTGAGCTCAGGTCTGGGATCAAACGGCTTCAAACCACCGAACCCGTCCCGACTCCGCGGCCCGACACAAGTAGCAGAGTCCGCTTCATGGTGCCGCACATGACGTCACAGCACCTGGCCGCTCACCTGGCCGCCGCTCGCGCTCACAGTTCGGTTCTTTGTTCAGACAAAGCTCCAGCTCAGAGCTCGTAGTCACGTGCGAGCCTCTGTTTACAAGCGCAAGGCGCGTGCGTGCTCGCTCAACAAATCCGGGGTGGGATTTAACGGATGGTGCGTTCAGGTTCTACCAAAGAATCAGACATACGAGTTTTGAAACGTGTTAATAATTTCTGAGCATAAAGCGACTTTTTTTAATCAAAGTATTTTTGTTATTTTTTCATTTTGAACATACACAACACAAAGAACATCAAACAAAAATCCCTACACCCCATCAGACCGTCACACAAACATAAATGAATTAACCACAAACAACATAAAAGGCTGCCACGTGACCCAAACTCTTAACACAACCCTTCAGGGCATCTCGTTTTTTCTGGATGAATATGGTACTTCCAAAATCCAAGCTGGCGTGTTCCTGTTTCTATTTTACATCGCTGCATAATGTAGTTTCTTTTGTTTCATTCATTCATTCATTCAACCTTTATTTATTCAGGTAAATCCCATTGAGCCTCAGGACTCATTTACAGCAGAGACCTGATTTGAACAAAGAAAGATGAAACAATGGACAGTTATAAAAAGTCATACTGATTTTTCTTTTTTTTTTTTAACAAATAGGATGGCTAAAAATAGAAAAGCAACATAAAAACATCTAGATTCTAAGGTGAATGTAGAAAATTAAAAACAGGAACATGTCAGCATCGGTCCCTGCCAGGAGTCCAACAGACCACTTAGAGAGGTCAAAGGTCGAGAGCTTCAGATCTTTTTACAAGATATTCCAGGAAACAGGAGCGGAGCAGGAGAAGGTCCTTTTGTCTAGTTCAGTCCTCACTGAGGGAACATGTAACAGCCAGTATGTATATTACTGTTGTAGTACCGTTTTAACGCCACCCGTCGGCGCCTCCTTTATTTGATATGTCGTAAGTGATTGTAGTCAGTAGCTGGGAGCTGTACAGGGTGTACACATTTAGCTGCTCTGCTCAACCTCAGTAACAGTGGTGAAGGACGTATGAACTATACTCTGTATATTGTTCATGTATGAATATTAGACTTAGCGTCGTGGAGACCTGGCATTCTATGGTTTTATAATAAAGCACAAGTGGGAAACAAAGTTCTGTCGCTCTTTTCCAAGCTACACCGGAGCACAGGTTGCTAATGCTAAGCTAGCTTTCCTCCTATGCACCACCACCACGTTACAAACACTGCAGGTAATGATGTCCTGAGAGCGCAGTGACAAGGCCAACCAAAGTGCTGTACAACAGACTCATGGTATGAACTGAGCAGTGTATAGATCTTACTAAGGGCCCCTTGGTATCAGACCTGCACTCCAAATCTTAGCCACAAAATGTTTCCAGGGTTGCAAAGAAATTCATTTCAGTTCAGTTCATTTATACAACGCCAGTTCACAACCAAGTTGTCTCAGGAACTTTACAGGAACATTCACATAAAAGCCAGTTAGTAAAGTTCTCTATCTAAGGAATCCAGCAGACAAGATGAATCTTGGCTTCGTTGCAGTCTCCCATCCTGAGCAAGCACAGTGGAGACAGTGGAAAGAAAAACTCCCTTTAACAGGAAGAAACCTCCAGCAGAACCAGCTCAGGACAAGAGACCATCTGCTTTGACCGGCTGGTTGAGAGGACAGGAAGGAGAGACAGACGAACACAGACTGGTAGGTCCAGATATAGGTCCAGGTCCAGATATAGGTCCAGGTCCAGATATAGGTCCAGGTATAGGTCCAGATCCAGGTATAGGTCCAGGTCCAGGTATAGGTCCAGGTCCAGATATAGGTCCAGGTCAAGGTATAGGTCCAGGTCAAGGTATAGGTCCAGGTCCAGGTATAGGTCCAGGTCAAGGTATAGGTCCAGGTATAGGTCCAGGTCCAGGTATAGGTCCAGGTATAGGTCCAGGTCCACATA